TGAAGGCCACGCACATGCACGATTCACTGGCCCTGGCGAGGTGCATTTGGGACTGAAAAGCGTCGCCGTGGTCGTTGGGGTCAAAGGACCCGTCATACTTGTCCAATGGTGGGAGCTTGAAGTCTCTGGGCATGGGGACTGCCAGGAGTTCTGATGCGAGGGGGGAAGGAACTGAGAGAATCGGGGCAGCTTTTACTTCGTTCGAGCTTGTCTCTTCCTTACCTCTGAGTTCGGGCAGGACACGGGTGGCAGTTTGGCGACTTCGCCGGCGCCTTCGTTGTTGAGTGGGCCTGGTGTTGGCGCTACTAGCCTCTGTGTTGCCGAGCTCGATGGGCTCAGAACGTTGGTAGTCTGCTGCTAGGGCGTTGAATCGGTTCTCCGTGAGCGGGAACTCGGGCCTGGAGCGCCAAGGTGCTGACCTTGCGGGCGAGGTTCCTGACCCGCCTGCGAGGCGGGGGTGATTTTTCTTTCCCTTCGGCTTGGGGATGAGGCCTGACTGTTAGGGGGGTTCTGGGGTCGAGAGGCTTTTTCCTGATGGGGGCGTCCATCCTGTGGGGAGGCCTTAACCGGCCTCGGAGCAGGGTGTCGAGGTGGAAGTAGTGGTTGGTTCAGCGGCAATTGGGGGAACTGCTGTTGATAGTGATACTGGGAGATGTTGTGCAGTACTTGGTGCTGCTGGAGCTGGTGTTGCTGGAACTGTTGCATTTGGGCTTGCATTGCCCGCATGCATTGCATCAGGTCGTCCAATCGGTTTTGGCTGGTTGCCAGGGGGACGACAGTTGGTTCAATAAAGGTTGTCTCGATAGGGGGAGGAAAGGGGATGCTCATGGCAGGAAGGTTTACAGGCGCCACGGCTTGTGGCGCATTCAAGCTGGGGATCCCATCCACCGAAAGGGGGATGGTGAACTGTCCGACGCACACCACGGGGACTTGAAGTTGTTCCCCGGTGGTGTTTGTCTCCGTGCCACGTCCAGCGTTGCTGGAAGAAGCCATGAGTGTTGGGTTTTTTGAAGAAAGAGGTTATGAGAGTTTAGAGGGAGGCTTTTTGAAGCGTTTCCCACAGACGGCGCCAATTGATTGTGCGCAATCCGGCTGGTCTTAGCTGTCAATGACCTTGCCTCTAAACGGAATTGCGGGGAACCTAAAACGAAGAAGATGAGGAAGCTCCGGGGGGAACCCAGTGTGGAGGCTCCGAAGCTCAAGTTAGAATCCTTCAAAGGCAAGATAAAACCAGATAACGTAAAGTTTGCATACCTTGTTCTTGGGGGTAGGGAGCCTTTTATAGCCACCTCGTGCACTCACTCCTAAGCTTCTGTCAGGTCGGGTACGATTACCT